TGCAGACAGGAAATCAGAAGAAGATTAAGAATGGGGAGGGTGGCTATGGAAGAGCTAGAAAAGATTCTAAAATGCAAAAATACACAACTGAGCACAAAAGTTAGAATCATACAAGCCATTTTATTCCCTGTTACCATGTATGGATGTGAGAGCTGGACAGTTAAGAAAAAATGATAGGAAGAAAATCAATTCATTTGAGAGAATATGGTGCTGGAGAAGAATGCTGAGGATCCCATGGAAAGCCAAAAGGACAAACAAATGGGTCCTAGAACAGATTAAGCTGGAAACCTCCTTGGAAGCCAAGATGACCAAACTGAGGCTGTCATACTTTGGACACATCATGAGAAGAGAAGACTCATTGGAAAAGACAATAATGCTGGGAAAGGTGGAGGGAAGTAGGAAGAGAGGAAAGCCACATGCCAGATAGATGGACTCTATTAAGGAGGTCATAGGTATTAAGGGTTTGCAGGAATTAAGCTGAGCAGTGGAGGACAGAGGGTCTTGGAGAAGTCTCATCCATAGGGTCGCCATGAGTTGAGATCGACTCGAGGGCAGTTAACAACAACAAATTTGTCCATCTGCCTCAATATTTTCTATCATGAGAGGCTGAAGCATTCTAGTGTCTAGGATGCAGCATTTCCCACAACCTGCTGTCAGATCCTTTTATGGAGAGCTGGTAGAGAATGAATTTGGGACCTTCTGCATACAAAGTAGAAAGTGAGCTATGTCCAACTAATTTTGTTATCAAGATTTTATTTAATATTTGGAATGCCAGTATCAGAAATCACCAAGCATCATTTATACAGAAAAACCAAATTTCCTTTTAAGTTGAATTAAATTGTGCTACTTACCTTAAAAATTCTTGGAAGCATTTGTTCAAGGCAGGGGGCGCTCATTGCAATTTCTGAAGCTTTTTGAAGGCATTAAGAAAAGTATGCAACACTCTCTTTAGCAAAGAATGTAGTGGAACTGGTCAAATACTGTGGTAGCGAAGTGTGTATCTGAAACGACACAGGTCCAACCACTTCTCATACTTCAATGAGTTCAAAACAGCACCTAGTCTCTCAACAGCTGAGTTACGCAGTTCACTTCAATTAGTAGAAAGTGCTCCAGAGTTCATCAAGTGTGCAACTCAATTAGCAAACCTCCCTGGATTGGTAACAGCAGTGACATAAAAGGCATTTCTCTTGGCCAATAAAATATGCAGCCCAATTAACAATCCATGCAGGTTGATAATTAAAATATATAACTTGATCTTCCAACAAAAAGACAGATGACTAGTTAAATTTTCAGGCCATCCATTAATAGCAGTTGCCATCCCTTGCAATAATAATGAGAAACACAGGCAGCTACATTTGTTACTCATACAGCTGTACTATTTTACTACCATATGACATTATGACATGCACAAAAGGAGAAATTTCCCCCCCCTGTTACCCATTAACCTGGCTTATTCAGCACTGGATCTACACTTTACACAGAGTCAAGTGGCATATCTCTGAATCACCTTCAAATTGCAGGTGAAAATAGTATTTTAAAAGTAGAATTTTTAATTTGCGTTTTAGATATATCGATTTTTAAAATAAATGTCCATTGCTTATATACAACCTCAAGTTGTTTCAAAATTACAGTGGGCCTTTGGTATCCTCTGGGGTCAGTCCCAGGATCCCCCGTGGGTACCAAAATCTGTGGATGCTCAAGTCTCATTACATACAATGGCATATTAAATTGGAGCCCTTTATATAAAATGCCAAAATGAAGGTTTGCTTTTTGAAATTTTTACATTTTTAAAATATTTTCAAACCATGGATTATTGTATCCATGGATTAAAAAAATTCATGGATATGGAGGGCTGACTACAAGAAATTAAGAAATATAATCAGTTATCATTTTTAAATGATTCCAAGTGAATGTCTCCCCTGTGAATATGGCTGCGCACAACAGCAAATAAGGTGGAGTGTACTAGTCATAAAAAATTAGGAGCCCTCGTGGTACAGTGGTTAAATGCCTGTACTGCAGCCACTCACTCACAAACTACAAGGTTGTGAGTTTGATACCAGTCAAGGGCTCAAGCTTGACTCAGGCTTGCATCCTTCCAAGGTCACTAAAATGAGTACCCAGTTTTTGGGGGGCAATTAGCTTACAGTTGTAAACTGCTTAGAGACGGCATAGCGTGGTATGAAGCAGTATATAAATGAAGCTGCTATTGCTATTGCTAAGCTGCTATAAATTAACTATATATTTGGAGAGCCAGTGTGGCACAGTGGTTTGTATGTTGGACTACATCTCTGGAGGCCAGGGTTTGATTCCCAGCTCAGCCATGAAACCCACTGGGTGACCTTGGGCAAGTCACATGCTCTCAGCCTCAGGGAAAGGCAATTGCAAACCTCCTCTGAACAAATCTTTCTAAGAATGCCCTATAAGAAGGTCGCCATAAGTCAGAAACTACTTGAATTAATTTTCAAGATGGGGACAACATTTTCCCTCCTTCAATCTGCTGGGACCTTTTCTGTTGTCCAGGAATTCTCCACAATTATTGTCAGTGGGTCTGAGATTACCTCTGACAATTATTTCCATTTTATGGATTGCCAATGGATTAAATTCATTTGACTTTGGATAGAGTTCATTTAGAGTGGCCAGGTATTTCTTTTTTGTCTCCTTTTTAATCCCTCACTCACATTTCAGCACTTTTTGGTACAACTTTATTTGGTCTACCCACCAATTCTTTGCACAAAAGTTGTTGTGTTTTTTTTGCATGAGTCGTACAGTTCTCTCTCTCTCTCTCTCTCTCTCTCTATATATATATATGTATATATATTGTTGTTGTGCCTCTAAGTCATTTTTTACTTATGGCAGCCCTAAGGCAAACCTATCATAGGGTTTCCTTGGTAAGTTTCTTCAGAGGGAGGTTGTCATTGTCATCCTCTGAGGCTGAAAGAGTTGACCATGCTTTCTGTGGGGTATTTCTATTTAAAACTCCTATTGTTTACATTCTTTTGCCCCTAGCTGTGTCAGTTTCACATAATTTCTTGAAAACACTGAAGACCAAACATCTTAAAATGAAATGAATCCACCAAGCTATTCATTCTAATGTGATAACTGTATTTTGTGTGTTAAATTTATTTAGTCAGAGAGAATAAAAATGTGCAATTGATCAAGCAGGCAGCAGTCCATGAAAACTCATGCCAACTAAAACTTGTTAGTTTTTAAAGTGCCATAACATTCTTTGCTGGTTTTGGCTGTAACAGACTAAAACAGCAGCACCTTGGAAGTATTACCCAAAATATAACAGCCTGTACTTTTTCATTTCCTATTATGCTATAATTAATTTGATAGATTTTAGCATATTATAGGATCCTTTAACTTGGCAATCCCTCTTGAAGTCCTAAATGATCAAAAGGTTGGAATACCTTCCCAAGAGGCACAGGATTCTAACTGTTAAGGGTGGAATGAACAGTTACTGAAACCCAGACCAGAAGCAACTCACAATGCAATGATTTACCTGCAGTGTCCCACTTATCCCCTGTGAATTTTGCTAAGCCCCTTTTAAAACCAATTAAGCCATTATATTGTGTGGGAGAATAAATGTTTTTATTGTTGTTAACTGCCTTCGTGTCAATCTCAACCCATGTCAATTCTATGGATCAAACATGTCCAGGCCCCCCTGTCCTCTACTGCTCTGCCCAGCTCCTGCAAACTCATATTTGTGATCTCTTTAATAACGTCCATCCATCTAGCATGTGACCTTCCTCTCTTTCTATTTCCCTCCACCTTTCCTAACATTATTGTCTTTTCCAATTATTCATGCCTTCTCATGGTGTGTCCAAAGTATGACAGTCTAAGGCAGGGGTAGGCAACCTAAGGCCCGGGGGCTGGATGCGGCCCCCCGAGGCCTTTGGACCAGCCCCAGGCCGGTCCTGCCGCCACCGCCACCCGCCATGATGATATTGATTATTGTTGTTATTACTTGTTCTTGGGGCTTTCTTGGCAAAATCTCCACAGGGGTTTTGCCATGGCTTTTCTGAGGCTGAGAGAGTGTGCATGCATATTTTTTAAAAAATTATTTATTTATTTATTTATTTATGGTGCTTCGGCCCCCAATTGTCTGAGGGACAGCAACCCGGCCCCCGGCTCAAAAAGGTTGCCTACCCCCGGTCTAAGGGGTTCTATAGATGGCACAAAGTGCCATCTTGGTGCCAGGGAAGGGGAGGGGCTGCCGGCCGCCAGCCATTCCATCCCCTTCCTGAGGACGTCATCAGAGCACCCACCATTGCACACAGCGAGCTCTCCAATGACATCCTTCCGGCTCAGCGTCCAGACACGCTGGGCTGGAAGGGATGTGGAAGAGATGCACGGCATCTTTTTGGGTGCCCCTTCTACTTGCTCTGGAGGGAGCAGTATTTTAGTGCTCCTTCCAAGGCCACCCAAAGGGTGGATTGGGGCCAAGGCATGGAGCAGGTTCGGCTCCAATCCTTAGCTTCAGGGGGCAGCTCACGGCCGTAGAGGCTCTGTAGAGGCTCTAAGTCTTGTCATCTTGGCTTCTAGGGATATCTCTGGCTTGATC